CAACAGTAATAGCTGGAGACATCACCTCACATTTTAATAATGGCTAAAACAACTAGACAGAAGACTAATAAGGAAATAGAAGACAAAAACAACACTACTAAACAACTAGACCCAACAGACATCTATAGAGTATGCCATCCAACAACATCAGAATACACATACTGATCAGGTGCACATGCAACATTCTCAAGGACAGGCCATATCCTAGGTCATAAAACAACCCTCAATACATCTAAAAGGATTGAAATCATGTAATTTTCCTACTATATAGAAATGTTTCTTTTTTTTTTTTTTTTTTTTTGAGACAGAGACTCGCGCTGTCACCCAGGCTGTAGTGCAATGGTGTGATCTCGGCTCACTGCAATCTCCACCTCCTGGGTTCAAGCAATTCTCCTGCCTCAGCCTCCTGAGTAGCTGGGACTACAGGCGTGCACCAGCACCCATAGGTAATTTTTTTTGTATTTTTAGTAGAGATGGGGTTTCACCATGTTGGCCAGGATGGTCTCAATCTCCTGACCTCATGATCCGCCCACCTCGGCCTCCCAAAGTGCTGAGATTACAGGCATTAGCCACTGTGCCCAGCCAGAAATGTTTCTTTGAATGTATTTCTTTTCTTTTTTTTTTTTTTTTTTTTTTTGATACAGAGTTTCACTCTTGTTATCCAGGCTGGAGTGCAATGGCGCTATCTCGGCTCACCGCAACCTCCGCCTCCTAGGTTCAGGCAATTCTCCTGCCTCTACCTCCTGAGTAGCTGGGATTACAGGCACGCGCCACCATGCCCAGCTAATTTTTTGTAGTTTTAGTAGAGACGGGGTTTCACCATGTTGACCAGGATGGTCTCGATCTCTTGACCTCGTGATCCACCTGCCTCGGCCTCCCAAATTGCTGGGATTACAGGCGTGAGCCATCGAGCCTGGCTCTTTGAATGTATTTCTATATGTTCTACATGTTAGAGAACATACAGAAATGTAATATATTTGACAATAACAGCACAAAGGAGGTGAATAGGAGCAACATTGCTCTCACCATTGCTGTTTAATTTTGTACTGGAGGTTCTAGCCAGGGTAATTAGGCAAGATAATGAATAAAAGTTATCTAGATAGGATTGGAAGAAGTAAAATGATCTCTGTTTGAGGAAAAGGTCCAAATTTATTCTTTTGTATATAGATATCCAGTTGTCCTAGGAGCATTTTAAAAAGATTGTTATCCACTGAATTGCCTTGAGACCTTGTTAAAATCAATTCACTCCAAATATAAGGTGTTCAACTGTAAGATGACATAATTTTGTGCATAGAAAGTCCTAAGGAATACTCTAAAAACTGTTAGGGTTAACAGCAAGTTTGCAGGATATAAGAGCAATATACAAAAATCATTTGTATTTCTACATACTACTAATGAACATTCTGAAAATGAAATTAAGGAAACAATTTCACCTACAATAGCATCAAAAAGAATAAAATCCCTAAGGATAATTTACCAAAGGAGATGAAAAACCTGTACACTGAAAACTACAAAACATTGATGAAAGAAATTAAAGAAGAACTTCCATGTCCAGAGCTGTTTATAAAAAAAAAAAAAAAAGAAGAAGAAGAAGAAATTAAAGAAGACCTAAACCAACATAAAGATATCCCTTCTTCATGCTGGACTGGAAAACTTAACATTGTTAAGATAGCAATACTCTAGAAATCAATCCACAGATTCCATGCAAATACTATCAAAATCCCAGCTGACTTTTTTCTACAGAAATGGAAAAGCTGATCCTAAAATTCATACGGAAAAGCAAAAGACTGACAATAGACAAAACAATCTTGAAAAAAAAAACAAAGTGGAAGTACACTTTTCAATTTCAAAGCTCACTACAGAGCTACAGACATCAAGAGAGTTTGGTACTAGCATGAGCATAGAAATACAAATTTTATGAAAAAGAAAAAGAAATAAAGATCAACAGAATATAAGAATCCAGGGGAAGACACCTTACATTTGGAGTGAATTGATTTTAACAAGGTCTCAAGACAATTTAGTGGATAATAATCTTTTTAAACAAATGCTGCTAGGACAACTGGATATCTATATACAAAAGAATAACTTTGGACCTTTTCCTCATGCCATAGGAAAAAATTACAATACCTCAACATGGATCACAGAACTAAATGTAAGAGCTAAAATTATAAAACTATTAGAAGAAATCAGTACGAGTGAATTTTGTGACCTTGAATTAGGCAAAGTCTTCTTAATGATGCACCAAAGGCAGAAAGAAACAACAACAAAAAGATCAATTGAACTTTTAAAAACTTTTGTGATTCAAATAATACCAATAAAGATATCAATATGGCCAAGAGTGGTGGCTCAAGCCTGTAATTCCAGCACTTCAGGAGGCTTAGGCAGGAAGATCACCTGAGGTACTAAAAATACAAAAATTAGCCAGGGTTAGTGATGCACGCCTGTAATCCCAGGTACTCAGGTGGCTGAAACATGAAAATTGCTTGAACCCAGGAAGTGAAGGTGGCAGTAAGCAGAGATCACACCACTACACTCCAGCCTGTGTGACACAGCGAGACTCTGTCTCAAAACAAAACAAAACAGAGATACTACTTCACACCTACTAGGATGGCTATAACCAAAAAGAGAGACAATAACAAACGTTAGCAAAGATGTGAAGAAATTGAAGCCTTCCTTTGTGCATTGCTGATGGGAATGTAAAATGCAGCTGCTTTGGAAAATAGCCTGGCAGCTTCTTAAGTGGTTTGAATATGACTGGCAATTCCACACTTTGTATAAACTCAAGGGAAATGAAAACACATGCCCAAAAATAATGTGTGCATAAATATCCATAGCAGCTTTATTAATAAGAGCAAAAAAGTAAAAGCAACTCAAATGTCCATTAACTGATTAATGGATAAATAAAATGTGTAATATACATACATTGAATATTATTTAGCTATAAAAAGGAATGAAGTACTAATACAAGCTACTGTGATATTGTGCTGGCCTAGAGCCAGAACCTGAGCAACGCTATTTTATAAAATGCAAAACTGTTTTTTAAATAAGTTGAAATGGCTGCCCCATTCTCCTCACAATAACTACTGTCCTTGGCCTCTGTAAATAGAACTGCTAGTTTGTTCTGCCAAACTATGTAAAGCTGCTTACCTTTTCTTATCAGTAACTGCTAAAATCTGTGACTTCTATCACCACCCAGACAATGTGTAAACAAATGTATACCTTGACTTCTGTAAACCGTTGAAGTAACAAACAGAACCACAAAAGTCCCCTGGCCCTTGGAATGTCCGGAGACCCCCGCCCTTGTCTCCGCCCAGGAGGTGAATCACAGAATCCCCAAGCCCTTGGAATGTCCGAAACCTTTTCATCCCCATCCCCGCTCCTCACCCCCACACCCACGGTGATTTTTCGGATATAAAAAGTCGTGGCACCCTCCTTTTGATACCACAGGTTGGAGAGACGTGAGTCCTCTGTGGTCGCCGGCATAATAAATGACCCTGCAATCCGGCATACTTTTGTCTTGGTGCTAACTTTCTACGCTCGGTCCAATACAACACTACAATAGTTAAAACATTAAAATACAGACACACAAAAAACCACATACTTCATTGCGTGACTCCAATTATACAAAATGTCCAGAAAGGCAAATCTAAAGAAACAGAAAGTTGATGCTGGGAGCAGTGGCTCGTGCCTGTAATCCCAAAGCTTTGGGAGGCCAAGGTGGGTGGGTCACCTGAGGTCAGGAGTTTGAGACCAGCCTGGCCAACACAGTGAAACCCATCTCTACTAAAAATACAAAAATTAGCTGGGTGTGGTGGTGTGCGCCTGTAATCCCAACTACTTGGGAGGCTGAGACAGAATCACTTGAACCCAAGAGGCAGAGGTTGCAATGAGACGAGATCATGGTGCCACTGCACTCCAGCCTGGGTGACAGAGTGAGACTCTGTCTGAAAAAAAAAAAAAAAAAAAGAACCCAGAAGGTAGATTATTGTTTTTGGGGGGTAAGGGTGGGTCAGGAGAGAAAATTGTTGGGAGAGGGGCATGACAAATGACTGCTAATGGTTACAGGGTTTATTTTTGGGGTGATGATGGCATAACTGTGAATATACTAAAAACCATTAAACTGTACACTTTAGGTGAATTATTTAAAAAGAAAAAAATGCTCATCTTCTATGTGTTGGTAAAAATGGGTAAACTCACCTGGGCACGGTGGCTCACATCTGTAATCCCAGCACATTGGGGGGTCAAGTGGGAGAATTGCTTAAAGTTTGAGACCAACCTGTACAACAGTGAGATCTCAGCTCCACCAAATATCAAGAAAATGAGTCAGGTGTGGTGGTGCACTACTGTAGTCCCAGTCACTTGGGGAGGCTGAAGCAGGAGGATTACTTGAGCCCAGGTGGTTGAAGCTTCAGTGAGCCTAATTTTTGTGTTTTCAGTAGAGACAGGGTTTCACCATGTTGACCAAGCTGGTCAAAACATTTTTTTTTTAATCTGGTAAAATTCTATGATATGTGAATTATACTCAAGAAAGCTGATACATGAGAGTTGATTACACATCATACATATTATATATTATAAAAATTATATCATGCAATTATAATATATACTTTTATACACATATATAATTGCAAAGACTGCTTTGATTGAATATGTAAGCCTTAATGAAACTCAGCATGTTTTAGGGCATCTCAATGTAATAACTCATGGTAATTTGTAACTTAGAGCATGTTTACTAAAAATAACTGACATGGATTATAGAAGTTGTTACTTATGAAATGGAAGGGCTAGAATTAAGATCTCCATTTTACAAGATGTATAAAGGCAGGTACTTCCTGCTTCTTTGTTCCTTTAGAGGGCAGCTTGCATCAAAGAGGAGCCCAGCCTCTTCTGATGGCATTTGATGCTTCTTGTGTGCCAACCAGGGTTCCCCTCATCTTACCTTTTTCCCTGAGGGGAGAAGACAGAGAATCAACTTTTCCGTATATGCTTTTGTCTTCCAGACTTCCCCCTTCCTATGGCCTCTGAAAGAGCTCAGCCAGACAAAACAACAGTGAGTACTGCTTCCTTGGTTTCCAAGAACAGGAATGGGGAGAGAGCCAGTTTCTTCAGCAGCCCCAGCTCTTTCTTCTGGGAGGTGGGCAGTAGAGGGGGCTCGTGTGGGAATAACACATCAATAAAAGCTGAGTCACCAAGTATACGTAGCACATTTTATATGTTCCTGTTCCTTCTTCTCAAGGATTCTCCCAGTCAGTTTACATAACTCACCTGTGGGGTAGAAAGCAAATATTTTGCACCAATAAATGGAAGAGGATGTCGTGGCTCAAATTCAAGTGGGTCCTATGCCACAGTAGATACTCTTTCCACCATGATATGCCAGGCATGCATACACCTACCTCCCCTACACCAAGGCCTTATGAGGTATTTTCTCAGTCTCCTTCCTTCAACTCCCTCAACCTGCTGTGACAAGTTTGAGCCCCTGCCATCTGAGACACCAGGTATGATAAGTCACTCAGTAATGTTCATCAGAAATTTTAACCTGGAAAGACATTTCCCTACTTTTGCTCTCTGTAACCTAACAGCCACATTTTGTGGTTGGTACAAAAATGTGATTGTTAGGTTGCAGAGGGCAGGGATTTTTATCTTAATAAAGAATTTATGGGGGACTATAGAGTTTACAGATTGTATATTATTCTACAATTATATACATGTTGTTGGTATTACTGTTGGGTTCAAATCCTGAGGCTTCTGAATCCTGTTCTCTGAACTCCTGGTCTGGTGCTCCTATTCCATCCACCTCCCCAGCTACCCATCATAATGGCCAAAAGACCTGGATGAAAGTGCCTAAAGCAGTTGTGTGTGTCTCCTTCAGGTTGAGTGCCTCAAGAATATAAATAACTGCTGGTTTTTATCCTACATGAAGCCCAGTGGACCTATTTGTGGCAGTGACCAGGTTACCTACAGTGGTGAGTGCCATCTCTGCTCCAAAATTCTGTAAGTCCTCATTTTGTTCTCCCTTCTCTCAAGTCAAGAGGCCAAAGGTGGCCAAAAGAGGGTGATGACCTCAGCCCACTTCCTACATCATCCAGTGAGATCCTCTCTCCAGACAGTCCTCCAGGATTTGTTCCTCCCTTTCTTCCATCCCTCTCTGTGCCCTCAAAAGGTACATGGAACCTATTCAGACAGTGCAGAAACAGAAATCCACTAAGGTGAGGGCACTGTGTCTGGCCTGGACAAGCATCAAGTGGAGGCACTCGGCAGCAAGCAGCCACAGCATTTAGATCACGTGACCCTAGATGAAGGTCATCCTCATGACCCCTCAGGCCAAAGAACAAAGAACAAAAAAAGAGGAAGAGGAAGCTGGGTGAAGAATCTTTCCAGCTAATAGTTTATTGGTCCTAGAATGGATATCATTTTCCAAAACAATTTTCTTTAGCTTTCAGCTTACTATGTGGTTTAGTCTCTGCACCCATCACATGTTAGAAGCTTTGAGTAACACCCAAGTGAAATGCCCGATGGTTGAGCCCAAGGGGAATAGTGAGGAGCAGGGTTTGTATCAAGGAAACTCCTTTTAGGAGTAGGAGGAGGAAGGCCAGTCGAGGTGGCTCACGCCTGTAATCCCAGCACTTTGGGAGGCCGAGGCAGCAGATCACGAGGTCAGAAGTTTGAGACCAGCCTGACCAACATAGTGAAACCCTGTGCCTGCGAAAAATACAAAAAATTAGCCAGGTGTGGTCACGAGTGCCTGTAATCCCAGCTACTCAGAAGACTGAGGCAGGAGAATCGCTTGAACCCAGGAGGTAGAGGTTGCAATGAGCTGAGATTGTACCACTGCACTCCAGCCTGGGTGACAGCAAAACTCTGTCAAAAAAAAAAAAAAAAAAAAAAAAAGGAGGTGGAGGAGTCTCTGACATCTGCTTTCTCCTTTAAAGAGAAAAGCCACGCTTTTGTCTAACTAAGACTTACAGGTTGAGTGCAGTATCTTAAGAGAGAAAAAGAGAGAAAAGCAAAAACACAGGAGTAATCAGAATTAGGTCTCTCCCCCCTTCCTCTTCTTAGTTTCTCCTCCAGAGAAGGAATAAGAACCTTCTTGAACAGGATGGGAGATATTTCGCTGGGCAGGATCGGACTTTCTTGCATTCTTGGCTGAATAAACATTAAAGCTTACACTAGAACCCATAAAAGTGTTGTAAGGTAAACAACTTTGGTATCAGCCTCAATCACGGGCACAGACGCCAGCACATGACAATCAGAAAGCATTGCCTAGGGAATATCACCGAGTCAAAGGATGCTGGAACCAGGAGCCATCTGAGAGATGGCATCCAAAGAGCTTCCTTTCAAGGTATCTCAGAAATTATTCTGGCTGAGTGTGGTGGCTCATGCCTGTAATCCCAACACTTTGGGAGGCTGAAGCAGGCTGATCACCTGAGGTCAGGATTTCGAGACCAGCCCAGCCAACATGGCAAAACCCGTCTCTACTAAAAATACAAAAATTAGTCAGGTGTGGCAGCGCATGCCTGTAATCCTAGCTACTCGGGAGGCTGAGGCAGAAGAATCTCTTGAACCCAGGAGGTAGAGGTTGCAGTGAGCTGAGATTGCACCACAGCACTCCAGACTAGGAGATAAAGTGAGACTCTGCCTCAAAAAAAAAAAAAAAAAAAGAAAAGAAAAGAAATTATTCTCTTAGCAGTTGCACTGGAGATTTAAGTTAAATTTTAATTTATACCAATCTAGTTTGGATTAATACCAACTTAATTACAAAAGCGTTCAAAAATATTTTTGCCTAGCATGGTGGCTCAAGCCTATAATCCCAACACTTCGGCATGCCAAAGCAGAAGGATCGCTTGAGCCTAGAAATTTGAGACATGAGCAACATAGCAAGACCCTGTCTCTACCAAAAAAAAAAAAAATTAAAAATTAGCCAGGTGTGGTGGCACATGCCTGTAGTCCTAGCTACTTGGGAGTCTGAAGCAGGATGATTGCTTGAGCCCAGGTGTTCAAGGCTGCAGTGAGCCATGATTGTGCCACTGCACTCTAGCTTGGGCAACAGAGCAAAATTCTTTTGTTAAAACTCTGTCTCAAAAAAAAAGAATTTTTTTGAGACAGAGTTTCACTCTCGTTGCCCATGCTGGAGTGCAATGGCATGGTCTCGGCTCACTGCAACCTCCACCTCCCACATGAAAACGATTCTCCTGCCTCAGCCTCCCAAGTAGCTAGGATCACAGGCATCCACCACCACGCCCAGCTAATTTTTTGTATTTTTAGTAAAGAGGGGGTTTCACCATGTTGGCTAGGCTGGTCTTGAACTCCTGACCTCAGGTGATCCACCTGCCCCAGCCTCCCAAAGTGCTGGGATTATGGGCGTGAGCCACCACACCCAGCCCAGTTATTTAAACATAAGTAAAATAACTGATTTTAAATGTCTTATAAGTCCAACATCTAGGCTTCCTCAGTGACAGATTCCATTGACTGATTTTTGTCTTATATATGAGCCATACTTTCTTTTCCTTTGTATGTACTACGATTTTTTTGTTGAAAATTGAATATTTTAAATTATAATATGACAACTGTGGAAATCAGATTTTCTCCTCTATCCAAGGTTTGTTGCTGTTGTTTGTTGTTGTTGCTATTTGTCAGAGAATTCTGAAGTAATCCTGTAAAGTATGCATTTTTGACATGTATGGCCATTGATCTGGCCCTACTCTTATCTTAGTATCAGCTAATGTTTGGACAAAAATTTCCTTAAATGGCTGGAACCAATAAATTCCCAGTCTTTGACAACAAAATCTTTATGTGTGCATTGAGGCATGCCTTCACTCAACCAGGCAGTTTATTTATTGATTTTTTTTGTTTGTTTTTCTTAACCAGGAAGTTTAAAGCTACACTTTAGTGTTCACTGGATGTTTGCACAGACCCACAAGATTAGTTAGAGATGAGATGTTGGGGCTTTCTCAGGTCTTTTCTGAGCATACAGAAAGCCCTACACTGGCTGCAAGGCCTTCTATATTTCCAGTAACATATGAGAGCTTTTCAAAACCTCCTATGGACATCTCATTACCTAACTTTTACTTTTAAGCTCTTTGTTAACCTATTGTTTTACAGAACCATTACCCGCCATGCAGTAGCCATGATATTAAAACAATTGCCTCTGATTTTTTTAACAAATTCTAGAAAAGGCTGTTTGTACCAGGAGAGTTTTGAGTCAGATCAAATAAAAGCCTTGCAAATGGGTCTTTCAGAGAACCACCCTGACAGGTCAAATAATGACAATTACCTGGTGCTTTTCTGTCATTCTATTAATGTGATATTATTAAATTGGCTGATTTTTTTGAACCCTTCTGAATTCTTAGGATAAAGCCCATTTGTCATGCTGTATAATCCTTTTAATATGCCATTGGATTCCATTTGTTGGTATTTTGCTGAGAATTTTTGCATCTATATTCATAAACGATATTGGTCTATATTTTCTTTTATGTGATGTCTTTGTCTTTGATAACATAGTAATGCTGGCTTCATAGAATGAAGTAGCAAGTGTTCCCTCCTCTTGTATTATTTGGAAGAGTTTAAGAAAGATTAGTATTACATTTTTTTAGCATTTTTAAACATTTTTTTAAAATATTTGGTAGTCTGGATGTGGTGGCTCATGCCTGTAATCCTTGCACTTTGGGAGGCCAAGGCAGGTGGATCACTCCTGAGGTTCAAGGCCAGCCTGGACAACATGATGAAACTCAGTCTTTACTAAAAATACAAGCAATTAGCTGAGCGTGGTGGTGTGTGCCTGTAATCCCAACTACTCAGGAGGCTGAGGCAGGAGAATCGCTTGAACCTGGGAGGCAGAGTTTGCAGTGAGCCAAAATCGTGCCACAGCACTCCAGCCTGGACAACGAAGGCAAAGCTCTGTCTCAAAAAAAAAAAAAAAAAAAAAGAAATGGTAGAATTGAGTAGTAAAGTCATCTGGTCTTTGTTGGGACATTTTCGATTACTTATTCAATATCTTTACTTGTCATAGGTCTGTTGAGATTTTTTTATTTCTTATTAAGTTTTGATAATTTGTGTGTTTCTAGGAATTTATTCATTTCATCCAGAATATCTAATCTGTTGACATACAATTGTTCATATAATCCTTTGTGTTTCTTTAAGTTCAGTAGTAATGTTTCAGCTTTCATCCAATGCATATTTTAACTTTAAGACACATTCTCTTTTTAATCCTCTGTATTTCTACTTGAATTTTCAAAGGCTATTTTGAATTTCTATATTTTATTGTAGGCTGAGCATGTTTTACAGATTCAATCTCTTTGACAAATAAAAATTCATATAGTAGATATTTTTAAATGTTTATTTCCCAAACTTAGCCAAAGATTATTAGTCATAATTTATTACTTACCATATAGCAAAAAATAATTTCAAAATATAATTTCTTTCAGATTTGAAGGGCTTAATATAACTAAACTGTATGATGGAGCATGTGTAAGTAAAGACACTTTTATTTTTTATTTTTAGAAGTAAACAAGAGCTCAGTTTTAAGGGTTTTTTTGTTATGAAAATTTTCAAACATACATAAAAGTAGAGACAATAATATATCCCGTATACCTATCATGTGTATTCAATAAATTGTAATGTTTTGCCACATTTCCTCCCTCTATTCTTTTATTTCTCTTTTTTCTTGGATGAAGTATATTAACACAGGTCTCAGACATCATGTTATTCACTCCTACATACTTCAGAGCACCTCTCTAATAAGTTTGGACATTTCCTTACATACACACAAGATCTAATTACAACTAATTATTTCTAATACATACTTCATATTCAAATCTTCCCAACCAAAAATAACACCTTCTGGAGGAAGAAACGTATTTTGCTCCTATAATTCAGCAGTAAGGAACATCTATTTCACCGTTTCTCTTCCCTCTTATGTCCAATATCTAGGATACTAATGAGAGACACTAATTGGAATGTGAATAGTTATTCCGAGAGTGAATGAGCCAGGACTTGCTTGAGCCCCAGGTCTAGAGACTGGGTCCCCGACTTCAGAGTTATAGATCGAAAGCAAGAACTCACCTGAAGCCATAGAGATCATTATTGCATTATGAGACATGGCAACAAGACTGGCAGAAATCAACAAAGAAGAGAAAATAAAGAAAGTGGGGAGTAAAGCTGAGGCAGGAGAATCACCTGAACCTGCAAGGCAGAGG